TGACCACTTATTATGAGGTAGACTGCTAGCTCTTTTACCTAGATCAACATAAAAAAGTTGATTTGTGACATTTTTAACTGTTTTTTTTGGTCTGTCCGGGTTCTGGGCTCCAAAATCCGGGGTTATCACGCGTCTTATCCTGGTTGCCACATTTTAGAGATGGCAGACCTACTCAAACCGGACATTTTATTTCTTCTTCCCTCTAGCATACGACTTAAGCATTAAGCATAGCATAACCGAGCAAAGCATTCAAGTGTAAGGGTTACAACTAGGGTTGCAACGATATATCGGAATATCGATATTATCGATAATATCGAGACCAAAATATCGATATTTATATCGATATTCAAAATTCACTGATATCGATAATATCGATATCGGAAATTCCAAAATATCGATATTTAGTAGACTTAATTTGAAAACAATAATATCAATTAATTTACCTGCTATGACTATCTAAATTGAATAATATCGAAATAACTATTGCTTTGAAATTGCAAGAACTTATAGATGTATCAAAAATATCTTGAACCCCAAGAAATATACTAAACTGGTGTGGACTCTGGCATGTTTCTCTAAACCTAAAATTAAATTTGACAACAGTGTATCCTTGTCATTCTCTATACAGAATGAAAAGGAGAGACTGATGTTAAATTTAGTTTTAAATTTAGATAATCATGCCAGAATCGACACCAACGTATATAGGTATAATCGTATACCTAATGGTAACTCATGCACTTAAATAAAATCCTTGCCTCTCTTTCTAGATAATTTTCAACTACTGATTAATTGAAATTTAATATCATTGTAATATAACACAAAATAAAATTAAGAATGTTATACAAATCGTAATTTTTTTAAGCTCGCCACGTCAAGAAAGTAATATAGGTATAGTAATTTTGGAAGCTTTTGGGCTTACCCTATTCTGAAGCCTGATGTGTAGGTTTTACTAATTCATAACAATTGTTTTTCATATGATTATCTATTCTGATTTTGGCTACGTGCAAATATTTTAAACAAAATAAATATCTTTGATTCGAAATTGCTTTTGATTTGATACTTCTTACAGCACTATAAAAAATATAGAAAATATCGTGTTGGAAATGTTGGAATGGCTGACATATCTGATCGGATATCGATATTTACCTGCCCACATTATAAATATCGATATTTCGGAAACCTTTGCTTCCTTAATTTTAGGCTTTTGCTTTGCAAACTTAATACAAAGCAAAAAAAAGAAAAAAATATCGATATATCGATAATATCGAGTTAAAATGGTCGATATATCGGATATCGATATTTGCCTGACTTCGATATAAATATCGATATAAATATCGATATTTCAAAAGACTTTGCATCCCTAGTTACAACCCTACATAATCTTTTAATTTTAAATATCTAAATTATAAGTGTTTAAGAACTTCATTAAATTTTAATGTACTTTACATGACGATAAATACAATTACATATCTGTTCAGTTTATAGGATAATTCAGACTTCAGAACGACCGTTTTATAACTTCCTAACTCACTAATAGCCGCCATAGACGTTCAAGTAATTTGATCAAAGAGACTGTTTCAAGGAGATTGATTTAAAAAAAAATACTTCTTAATTTCAATTGGCAAATCATTTTGATCAAATTTGATCAAACAAACCGTTTGAACTAGCTTGCTTGATCAAATTACTATAACGTCTATAGTGGACATGAGCAGTATATTTTTTAATTTATACAGGTAATGGGTGCAGAATAAACTGACAATTGTTTGCATATAACCGGTTCAGCGACTAACCTAGCGCAGTCATTAGAGTAGGTACTTTCGCTGAGACGAACGAAGAAAATTGGCCATGAACACTTCCGTTTCCTCAATTTTGTAGAGCTCATGGCAAGAAAATCGAAAGTGTACCTAATGCTTGTACAAGCCATGCAGCCAACGATTGTGTAATATGGTACAGTCCCCGTAACATGAGCACCACAATTTACATTATATCACGTTTTTTATCGCGTCCAACTGTCAAACTACATAGTAATTTGACAATTGAGCGTGATAAAAACGCGTTATATATCATATCGCGGTGCTCATGCTAGGGGCAGGTACACGCTGTATTGTATTAAAATTCAGAATGTAGACAAGGTTATTTAATATAATTAAAATAGGTCCCAAAACTGTCAATTTAAAAATAAAATGAAAATAAATGAATAATAGGTAATGAATAAATTAGAGTAATTTTTTAATTATTTATTCAAGGTTAAGCGGTAATGGAGTTCAACTTCAAATGCAATAGCACAATGAATCCGTATTTCCATGATAATATTATAAATGCGGAAATGTGTCTGTCTATCTGTCTGTTATCTTTACACGCTTATACCACTGAACCGATTTAAATAAATTGAGTAAAGGTAGAGATTAAATCTAAAGAAAAGTTTACTAGAAAAAAATCCACGCGGACCAGGCAGCGGACGGGACTCGAACCCGCATCCATCGCTATCCGAGCGAATGCACTGACCATTATGCTACCACGGCCCTATTAGCCGCGTCGAAATTTTCCTAGCCTTAAGCTGCAAGGCAGCGCCATCTCTTTGCATTGTAGGTAACCCACAATGTCAAATAAATACTTTTTCAAGTATTAAACATTTGAAAGAAGAAATAGCAATTATAGTCGTACTAGTTTTTCTAGTAAACTTTTCTTTAGATTTAAAGATCTAGCAGTTAAATGCTTAAAAAATAAATAAAATCATAAAGGTAGAGATATTTTATTCTCTATACTCCACAGAAGATAGATGCCACGGTGATATTTATGTATATGTAATAAATCTTGCAAATCAAGATGTCGCTCACCTGATAGTAAGCGACCACAATCATCACCTTCGTTAACTAATAATAATAACATCAATGTTTAGTACCTAATTATTATTAATTAATAACTTATTTTTCATTTTGTAAATAACAAATTATTTATAAGTAGGTTAAGGTAATTTGTATTTAAATTTTATGCGTTAGTTAGATTATCAGGTGTTGTTATTTTATTTCTATATATTGTAATTCTGTAACTATCCACAATGTTAAGACATCAAAATTCATTAAAAAAAACTATCAACAGTATCGACATTTAGGCATTAAGCAAACAATTCGTTAAAGTTAAAAATAAGTGTCACAAATTCAGACAATACCTAAAGTTTTTTGAAAAAGTTGACTTAAAAAATATTTGAACACATCGGTGAACTGCATTATGTTGAACTTAGTTGAATTTAGTAATAGTAGGGACCAAAATGCCTGCATTAAAACGAAGATCTTTTCTCCAGGGCGTGCGATCCAGTCAGTCCAAGTCGAAGGAAAAAAGACTTAATCTTACTTAAATCGTAATTAGCTAAACTACCTTTACTAATTACATAGGCGATCACTCGACTCGTTTTCATAAAAATAAAAGATCCATTACACATCAGGAATTAGTACACACACGCATAAGTTCACTGGTCATCTAGTAAAAGCGTACTTTATGTATGAGTTTGAGCTCAAACTAATAATTATAAATTATGTTTCTATGTCTATTTTGGTGAAAAGTAACCAAATATACTTAAAATTTAAGAAGACGCAAATGATTTAATGATAGAATTTAAACACTGTTTATTTGTATTGAAACGAAAACAATAAAATCAGTACCCTTAGTACGAGTGCGAGCTCTCGAAAACTATCATAGTTTTCATAATTGTGCAACTCGTACTAAGGGTACAGAGTGACATCCATCCTCTTTTCACTATGTACCGTACCCTTCGACTACACTGTTTATTTCTCGCGCTTGTTTTCGAAATCTGAATCTGAATCTGAGTGCACTCTGGCCGCACCCTTAGTCAGTAAGAGTCTGATATAACCCTGCAGCCGACTGCAGGGTATCTATGAGAATTTCTCACCCGCCTGGGTGGAAATCAACAAATACTTGTGGAAATCGCCCACCCTCTCGTCTGGGCTCATTGATGATAAAACTATTATCATCATCATCATCAGCCTATTAATATCCCCACTGCTGGGGCACAGGCCTTCCCTATGAATGGATTAGGAAGATTGGTCCATGACCCACCACGCGGGCCCAGTGCGGGTTGGTGGGTGCTAACGACTGCAGATGCAGCCGGGACCAACGGCTTAACGTGCCTTCCGAAGCACGGAGGAGCTCGAGATAGTAAATTTTTGGTCACCCATCCAATGACCGACCACTGCGAAAGTTGCTCAACTTCAACGACCGCAGCCGAACGCGCTAACCACTGGCGCTGTCGAGCTCCTCTTATATTATATATTTATTTATCTAATATATAAAATTCTCGTGTCGCGGTGTTTGTGGTTAAACTCCTCCTAAACGGTTTTCCCGATTCTCATGAAATTTTGTGTGCATATTGTGTAGGTCTGAGAATCGGACAACATCTATTTTCATCCTTTTTTTTTTTAATTTTTTATGATACATCATACAAAAATACATACCTACATCCTTAAATTTTCAACTTTCTACCACCGACCCCTATTTTTTTATGGCGGTACGAAGTTCGCTGGGTCAGCTAGTAAAACTATAAATTTAACACAAAATGTTTAAAGTAACTACTTTGTCGAAGGAAAATGCAAGGTTTGCACCATCATTATACCTACGAGAATTAACGAGAAATACGTAAACAATGCGGTGGGAATGAACTCATGAACTAAATAAATGAAAAATGGATTACTATCGATTTTAACACAGTATTTACCAACCTAGCATCAATACAGTTTTTTATTTCATCGATATACTGTTAAGACTTCAATTCTAGACTACTATATCGATAGATATTCTGTTTATCCCCAACCTTGTTGATAACTATCAGATTGTATAATGAATGAATTCTATTTAGATGCAATGGCACCGAACTGTTGAATATTGTAGTAACGATTGCGCTTAAGAGTCAAAGTCGCCTCTTGGTCTTGACATAAATCAGTAAAAGTGCTTACTTAAGTATGAATCGAATGTGACTACAAACTCACCGGCCCAAGGTCCAAACTTCTTCGTCAGTGGCTCCACTTCAGCTGGCAAGAAATAGGGCATCAAATACGAAGACACCATTTCCAGGACACTCCATAAAGAATCTATGGCAATGAAGGTCAGGGCAAGGAACCCGACTATCGCTAAAACCACAACTGCCGCGAATAAGAGCATGGCTGTATCTCTAACCACACGCCTGGGTGAAGATTTTAAAAAGTTGTCCACGAAATAAAAAAAAGGCGCGAAGTTTTTACGATATTCGTAAATGGAACGCTTTCTGTATAACGCGACTTGTGGGAACGTGAGTGTCGCATGACGGGGCAACGCTTACTGGATTGCGATTGGTTGGTGTCTGCCCCCACATACATATCAACATTCAACTTTTGATGTAGACATCAACCTAAAAATTATTATGTCATTTCATTTATCTATATGTACGCGTGTTATCGGTATCATAATTAAAACGTTATTTATCTGCTAGTGCGTTAGTGATCAGTCGTTCCTGAATAGCAAAACATAATATTTTTTTTAGTCCAACGACAAGTTTTCTTAAAAGACCAACGCTGCGATTCTGCTTATCACCAAAAACTTGTTAGCAATTTATATCAACAGCGATTCATTGCTGCTAAAGCAATGTAGGTTCTTCACAACTTCCTCAATAAAAGTATCAAAGAAATGGGCTTATGTAATAGAATAGGGTGCACTATTAGAATATGAATGCGAAATTTTAGGGTTCCGCAGTCAAATAGCAAAAAACCGAACTCTTATGGATTCGTCATGTCTGTCTGTCTGTCCGTTCGTATGTTACAGCCACTTTTTTCCGAAACTATAAGAACTATACTGTTGAAACTTGGTAAGTAGATGTATTCTGTGAACCACATTAAGATTTTCACGCAAAAATAGAAAAAAAAAACAATAAATTTTAAATTTAGGTACGAGGGTCGTTCAATTTATGCTCGGTATAGGCAGGAAATAATAAGCGGAGAATTCTGAATAAAATTTATTTTTCAATATAAAACTTTTGAGAGTTGAAAAGTAACTTTTACAAAACTATCATAGTTTTCGTAATTGTTAATTAAGTTTCTGTGTGTGTTAAGTAACCAAATACATATACTTAAAATTTAAGAAAACGCAAATGATTTAATGATAGAATTTATACACTGTTTATATGTATTGTAACGAAAACAATAAAATCAGTACCGTTAGTACGAGTGCAAACTCACGAACGTAATTGTAAAACTCGTACTAAGGGTACTGAGGTCTTCTTCAATACTCTCTCTACCCCGTTGCAATTCACTTGACTACTTCTGAATTATAGATAACGAAGGGGCCGAATCTTAGTAAATAGCAAACAGCCATTATTTCTTCGTAAGTTACTTTTTGGTGGATTTATGTACGTGTTTTTAGTCCAGTCGGAATAAACATGAGACCTATTCTAAGACACCAGCGCTTAGCCAATTTTTTCCTAGATAGTATAGACCCCCACGAATATGCCCTCCATTTGTCCCCGCTAGAACCCGTGTTTTGTAGCCAGGAAAATTGTTTAAACAAAGAAAAACCGGTTTTTTGAGTTTTTTGCTTGTAAACGGGGATTTTGAATTTTTTTTTGAATCAAAGTTGTTCATTAGCTTGCCCTCTACAAAATCAGTTCTATGAAAAAATAACGTGAGATTGTTAGTTTAGCAGTAAATTGCAATTATGTCGGTTTTACGTTTGCAACAATTCAACATGTTATAATAAACATTTTGATTTCTAAAGTAGTTTATCATGTGGGTAACGCCACTCCCAAGAGAGTCATGTAAAATTTATCGACCTGTGTCCGCAAACTTTAGCAACAATTCTCAATCTCCGAAAAAAACCGTACTTGCCTGTCCCGTCTTTCCCAGAAGGCGCACAGCGGGAAAAAAAATTCAGGTGATTCGATTCACCAAGAATTTTGAGGAATCGATCGAGTAGAAAAAAATCGTTAATAAAAATGTTCGTTTTTGGACGATTTAATTTTTTTTTAAAAATTGACGTATAATATTTTTTTTTTAAACTAATGTATTTTTCTCTCCTCAACTCGAATATACGATTGAAAATTTAAAAAATTCAATTTATTTATGTACAGAAATTATTTACAAAACTATTAACTAAAATTCGATTACAAGACTGCGTTGTATTCTATATTTCTAATTAAATTAATTTCGTCCTTTTTTCTTCCGGTTCATAATCGGAATTCTCAGGGTATATTAGTATTATATATATATATATTATATATATATATATATATTCGAGTTGAGGAGAGAAAATATGTGTAGTGAAACAAAGTTTTGTGTAGACGATTTTATTGAATGTTGATATGTTTTTGTTGATTGTGTAGAGTAAAACACACGCTGGAGACCCGGCTTTGTTGTGACAAATCAATGAAATTTTATATGTATACCCTCAAAGAGTGTCATTAAGTAGGTAATATAATGGTGTCTTTTCGGACACGATTATCTAAACCTAAACTTATCTTCGGCGATAACAGGATAATTCAGCCCACATTAACTGTCAAACTACAATGGAGTTTGACAGTTGAGTGTCGATAAATCGCTATCATATCGCGTTTTGTTAGTCATGCTAGGGGGGTTGATCGAAGTCTGTTTGATTATTCAATTATGCTGTTATCGCCTCCGAGATTTAATTTTCAAGTTATTGTTTTATTTACCTTGATAAAATCATCGTTAAAAACAGCTGAATTAAGTTTTAGATAATATACAAATCTTTTTTATGTGTTCTCTTCGTTTTGTATGAGTTTCACCCTGATCCGAATTAATAACACTTTTTACTGAAATTTTAAATGAAATTTTACGTACTCGTTTAGTTTGGATGACAATGCATGGTGAGCTAAGTGACGTCATTGTAAATATAATAGGCAGACGACCTTGCTTGCGGATTTACATGGGATTTTATGCACTCGCATGATATACATCTACTAAAGTTACACATTCATCAGTTACTTTTATTGATAATATTTTTTGTAACAGTGATTTTATAGTTATATAAGTTACTAGCGGCCCGCCCTCGCTTCGCTTCGGTGTAGAGCTGAAGTGTAAACTACAGTTTTTGTTCTCAGGCTTGTATTATACACAATGACATTCATCTATGATTCTTGTTATTCCTGCATGCAAAGTCTCAGTCCGATCGGTTTAAAATTGACAAAGCTTCATACAAATTTTCATTCCTTATTTGACCATTTCTACACCCAAGGGGATAGAATTGGTCAAAAACCTTTCTTAGCGGATGCCTACGTCATAACATCTACCTGCATGCCAAATTTCAGCCCGATCCGTCCAGTGGTTTGGGCTGTGCGTTGATAGATCACTATGTCAGCCAGTCAGTCACCTTTGAGTTTTATATATATAGATTTACGGGACTGTTACCATGTACCTTGTTTTTAGGGAGTTTCTGATATTTCGGCACTCGCCATGATCACGGAGTAACTCAAATCAATATCGGAATCTCGCTAAAAACAAGATACATAGTAAAAATCCCGTAAATCACACTAATATTATAAAGGCGAAAGTTTGTGAGTATGTGAGTGTGTATGTTTGTTACTTCTTCACGTCTAAACGGCTGGAGCGATTTTAATAAAATTTGGTATGGAGTTAGCTGACACACTAGATTCACACATAGGCTACTTTTATCCCGAAAAAATGTTAGGTTCCAGAGGGATTTTCAAGAAACTAAGATAACGCAGACGAAGTCGCGGGCGACCTCTAGTAACTTATATTACTATAATGTTAGTGACCACGAAAGTTTAAAACAATATACAGTGATTTTATATAAAAATCTATGATTAACTTCATTAATTCTGAGCGTAGCGGTCAATTTGTGACTATTGAGCACCATCACCATTGGTCCATGAGGTTACTTGTAATTGTAGACCTATGACAAAACATGGTATTGAAAAATTCAAATATAATCTTTATATATAAAACTCAAAGGTGACTGACTGACATAGTGATCCATCAACGCATAGCCCAAACCACTGGACGGATCGGGCTGAAATTTGGCATGCAGGTAGATGTTATGACGTAGGCATCCGCTAAGAAAGGATTTTGATCATTTCTACTCCCAAGGGTATAAAATAGGGAATGAAAGTTTCTATGAAACTTTGTCAATTTTAAACCGATCGGGCTGAGACTTTGCATGCAGGTATAAGAAGAATCACAGATGATGAATGAAAAATACAAACCTGAGCCCAAAAATTGTAGTCTACACCGAAGCGAAGCGAGGGCGAGCCGCTAGTATGGAATATAATTTGGTGCAACATAGACTTATATTTTGTGCACGCCAATGATACTTACCTGCCAGGTACAACCAGGTATCAAATAAAAATTTTGAGGATTAGGTGAATAGAAGAATTCAGCTGGGTTTGGGAAGTTACGTCGGGTCTTGTCATTGTCGATCTCACAGTACCAAAGACGAAAGTCTTCAATCAGTGCGTCCTACCTGTAATGACATACGGAGTCGAAACGTGGACACTGACGGTATGGTCCACAAGTTCAAAATCGCTCAGCGCGCTATGGAAAGGGCAATGCTCGGCGTTTCTCTGAAGGATCGCATCAGAAATGAGGTGATCTGACAGAGAACCAGAGTTATCGACATAGCCCATCGAATTAGCAAGTTGATCTGGCAGTGGGCTGGCCATATTTGCTGCAGAACCGATAACCGTTGGGGTAGACGAGTTCTGGAGTGGAGACCGCGTCTAGGCAAACGTAGTGTAGGACGTCCTCAGGAACGGTTGAGTGACGATTTGCGCAAGGTGGCTGGCAGGAGCTGGATGAGAGTAGCCCAAGATCGACCTCAGTGGCGTGCAATTATAGAGGCCTATGTCCAGCAGTGGACTAATATAGGCTGTTGATGATGATGATGATGAAATGAAGATGTTGAAAATTGTTCAATTATTCAATAATATTAGGAGCATTTAAATAAAAGCTTGTTTGTCTTTTAAATTCCTTTAATATAAATTTAAAGGTATCTAAAAAAATATTTATTTACGTTTTATTTATTGCTGACCTACACTCGCCCGCAAAATTAAAGGGTCATCTTGGAAACAGCAATATCACAGCATATTAATTTTCAAATTAACAAAATGATTATTTTGAATCACACTGGTGGTTTATTTTATGAGAAATTATATTTACTTTCAGACACTTTTTAATTTAAAGAGTAACCTTATGTACCTACTTTCTTTCAACGTTATTTGGAGGCGCGTCAATCTAAACCTTCACACGGTTTTAATTTTGGTTGGTCGCCAATCCATTCTTCTATTTGGACTTTACACGGTAACTCATTCTTATCTTCTGTTAGGGTATTAATAC